CAAAAATATTTGTCCGCTAATACGTAGTGCCTATGCCGGCTTTGCCACACGTGGACACACACCATATATTACAATAAGTTAAATTGAATAGATCATTAATATATATTCTTTTTGATAGTTAAATTATAAAACAATTTTATTCAGTAGTGAAAAATACACATAGTAATGTAATCTTGTATCATATATTTATTTATCTCTCAACCTAACCTAAAAGTGATAAAGCTATTAAATTTTGAGAATGGAATATGTATTAATATAAGATAGAAAATAAATATTTTAAAAGTGTTAAATTGTTTATTAGTACAATTGTAAAATTTCCGTATACAGAAAAATTAATGCTTTAAAATGTAAAATTGGCTATTTACTTTCTAAATAGTGTATAGCGAACAAATATTTTTGCTATTATTAAATTTAACTGGCAATATTTATTTTTATTTTATAATATTTTGCTATTGTATGTAGAGATTAACATTTGCTGAAATAAAAATCAACTCTTATTGATGAAAGCATCTTACAAGATAAAAAAAGAAGTTCAAATTAACAGTACATATAATGGACATCGATGAGAATAACAAGGTACATATATAATTATTTTTACATATAATACATTGTACATTTTTTATGTGTGTGTGTGTGTGTGTGTGTGTGTGTGTGTGTGTGTGTGTGTGTGTGTGTGTGTGTGTGTGTGTGTGTGTGTGTGTGTGTGTGTGTGTGTGTGTGTTTATATCCATTTCTTATATCTGATTAGTAGATTATTTTTTTATGTAATAAGAATTCTATGCTCAAGTGATTAAGATTTCTGTTGTTTGTTTCATATGAAATTCAGATACTTTAATAAAAAGAATAAAGATTAATTAATTATTCTAATTATATATGTTCATATTCTATTGTTTTCAATGTTACAGATGACATATATTGTTTCTATATTCTATATACTACTTCTATATGTACTAACAATATTACATATATTGTTAATACATTTATTAACAAATATTATTATAAATTATCATGCAGTCTAGTCTATGTTTCTAAGATAAACTATGATGAATATTAATTTATTTGATTATTTTTCTGATTTTAGAAGCAAGTTTAGCTATATTAAAGTCATAAGTACTTACTATTTTATATTATTTCTTCATAAAGATTTTGAATGTCATCAATCATTGATCTGGCATAATATTTAGAAGGTACATAATATAAAGTATATCGCAGAAGTCATATTCTTATTTTCTATGTAAAAAGATATAATAAAGTTTTAATTTATCTCTTGTACACTTATTCACGGATTATCTTCAGCTAACAATAAATGACAAGCTTTTTTTATTAATCTTTAAAACAATTTAAAAAGTTTTTTTATATTTAAATTTTATTGATGTCCTTATTTTACATGAAGGAGGTTTTTATATTTCTAAATTCCTTTAAATATCATTTATTTGTAATTTGTTGTAGAAGTTTTTGCAATGTAATCGTAATTGGAAAAAGAGGATTGAGAGGAGGGCTATGAAACGTTTGAGGCTTGAAGAACAACAAGATTATGCCCTCAATAGAGTCTGTACATTACTAAAAAAAAAATTAAGATTCAATAATTCTAGCAGCAGCAGTAGTAGTAGTAGCAATGATAGCTTTTTTACAGATATTTGTGAAATCTCAGATCAAGTTGAAATATTTGCAGAGGAAGAAAATAATGTGTCAAGTGAATTAAATAATTTGAATCAAAATAATTTGAATTCTGAAAGTGAACTTGAGATTAGTGATCATGAAGAAGACACAATTTCTAATAAGGATGCAAATATCATGAGTTCAGAAACAAATACTGATGATAATAGTGAAAATGAAAATATTGATGCAGTTTTTGATAACGATGAACAAAAAGAAAGATATATCACATTAAGTTTATATGAATGGGCATTATCAGGTGGAATTCTTTCTATGAGTAAAATTGATGAACTTCTTGCATGGCTTCGTCCAGTGTTTCCTAATCTGCCTAAAAGTTATAAAACCTTGCTTGGAACATCTGATAATATAAATATTATAAATTTTCGGAATGGAGGGCAGTTTTGGTATAAAGGAATAAAAGATAATTTAGATGGATTTATTTTAGAAGAATACTTGCAGAGAAAAAAAAAGATTGAAATAGATATCAATACTGATGGACTTCCTCTTTTTCGAAGTTCTAAAAAAAAGTTTTGGCCAATTTTAGGACATCTGGTAGGGACTAAAAATGAACCATTTGTTATTGCCATTTACTTTGGAACGTCTGATCCTAGTGACATTGAAGAATTCTTGCAAGATTTTGTTAATGAGGCTAAAAATCTAATCAACAATGGTTATGTACGAAATCAAAGAACTTATGATTTTTTTATTAGACATTACATTCTTGATGCTCCAGCTCGAGAGCTTATAAAATGTTGTATAGGTCATAATGCATATGCTTCTTGCGAGAAATGTACAGTGTGGGGAGAACGATCGGATAACAGGCAGACATATGTTGATCTTGATGCTCCTTTGAGAACTAATGAATCTTTTAAGAATCAAACACAGTCTCACCATCACAAACGAGTGTCACCTCTTCTTAGATTGAATACTCAAATGATTTCTCAGTTTCGTTTAGAGTCCATGCATTTAGTATACGAGGGTGTATTTAAGAGATTGTTAGAAGTATGGATGCGATGGATAGGCCCATGGAAGTTGCATTGGACTATTGTGGAAAGAATGTCTAATATGCTTATCCAAATAGCTCCCTCTTGCCCTCAAGATTTTGCCCGAAAACCAAGATCTCTAAGTGACTTAGCATTTTATAAGGCAACGGAATTCCGTCGTTTATGCTTATACGATGGCATTGTGGTGTTTGCTCAGCATCCTGATATTAATGTTTATAAGCACTTCTTATTATTACATTGCGCGATTTTTATTCTTGCAAATCCTGTCCTGCATAAAATTATGAATGACTATGCAAATATTTTGCTCAGAACTTTTATTAAACATTCTGTTACAATTTTAGGAAAAAAGTTTGTAGTTTATAATGTGCATTCTCTTTGTCATTTAGCGCAAGAGTGTAAAGATTATGGCCCTTTAGAATCATTTAGTGCCTTTTGTTATGAAAATAAATTGAAAACAATAAAAAATCATCTTAAATCTGGTTTTAAACCTCTTCAACAGGTAGCTAAGCGTGAAATAGAACGAGGAAATGAAAAAATTGTATTCATGGATTCTGAAATTAACGAGATTGTTTTATCAAAGAAACATAGAGATGTAAATGAATTAATTAATGGCAGTCAATTTAAAAAAGTTTCAGTAAATGGTGTAATTCTTCAAGTGAATGATAAAGATTCATATTTTAAAACAAATTTAGGTCAAATTGTAGTCTTAAAAAATATTCTTACAGAGGATGATAATGTACTTTTTATTGGTAATACTTTCATAAATGTTGAAGATTTTTATACATATCCTCAGAATTCCTCAGAACTTGGCATTATTAAAGTATCTGAATTGAACAATGATAAATTAATATTTCGTTTACAAAATATTGTTGCTAAATGCTGGCTTATCCCTTTAAAAGATGAATATGTTTGTATACCTTTGCTTCACACAATGCCTTTCTGCAAATAAAATGCCAGAATTTTTATTTATATGTTTAAGTATAGTAGTGATACTAGGAGAGTTCTAACCCAGGTCCTCTCAGGGGGGGTGAGGCGCGAGGTGAACCGCGGTGCGGGAGGGAGTGACGTCACGCGCGGGGAAGGAGGAACCGCGGCGCGCGGCGGGTGACGTCACCCGCGGGGAAGGGGGATCCACGGCGCGAGCGATGGACGAGGGGGTCCGCGAGGTGAAGGGGGATCAGCGGCGCGACCGATGGACGAGGGGGTCCGCGCAGTGAAGGGGGATCCGCGGCGCGAGCGATGGACGAGGAGGTCCGCGAGGTGAAGGGCGATCCGCGGCGCGAGCGATGGACGAGGGGGTCCGCGAGGTGAAGGGGGATCCGCGGTGCGACCGATGGGCGAGGGGATCCGCGCGGTGAAGGGGGATCCGCGGCGCGAGCGATGGACGAGGGGGTCCGCGCAGTGAAGGGGGATCAGCGGCGCGACCGATGGACGAGGGGGTCCGCGCAGTGAAGGGGGATCAGCGGCGCGACCGATGGACGAGGGGGTCCGCGCAATGAAGGGGGATCAGCGGAAAGAAGACGGTAGTGTGAGAAGGACAGCGCTATGTATGGGAAAAGGATAGTGCAAAGTGTGTGAAGAGGACAGTGCTACGAGTGCGACAAAGATGGTGTTAACGCGGGACAAGGACGACGCAAAGGTAAGTGAACAACGAGTATATGAAAGAGAGAAAACGATAATATCGAGAATAACAACGCGTGCGAGAGAGAACGATAGCGCGAAAACGACATGTACAAGAGAGAGAACGATAATATCGCGAGACTTACAATTAGTGCGCGTGCGAGAGAGAATGATAGCGCGAAGATGACGCGTGCAAGAGAGAACGATAATATCGCGAGACTTACAACTAGCGCAAGAGAGACGCAAGGATGGGGACGCGAGGAGAGGCGCGTAAATAATTAGATTTTTTTCTGAATTAAAATTAAATAAAATTTATTTAAATGTGTACTTTTTGTGTCCTAGAGAGATTACTTATTCTAATCGCGAGAGAAAGAGATAGACTTACAACTAGCGCGAAGACTTACAACTAGCGCGTGCAAAAGAGAACGATATCGCGATAACTAGCGCAAGAGAGACGCAGGGATGGAGACGCGAGGGGAGGCGCGTAAATAATTATATTTTTTTTTTATGAATATAAAATATATAAAATTTATTAAAATGTGTATGTGTTAATACAATTGTGTGTGTGTGTGTGTGTGTATGTGTGTGTGTGTGTGTGTGCATGTGCTTAAATTATAATTAATAATAATATAATATAATAATAAAATAAAATATAATAATAAAATAATAATAAAAATAATTTGGCGGTGCGGGGGAGGGGGTGAAGCCGCTCCTGGAAGACTAGGGGCGATGTGTCGGGCTGAGGGACTTCCGCTCCTGACCCTCTCGTCGACTATTCATGTACTCTCGTAAACTCTGAAATTAAACATAATAATTGTAAATGTTTTAAATTTATTACACATTAGCAAAAATATTTTTACCTTCAACGTTTCCAAGTCATGTCGTAGCATATTCTCATGCACATCTTCTTCGAATTTGTCTGTACCTTTACATAATTCAAGATGTTCACAAAGTCTATTTCCGAAACATTTTACTTTAGTGTGATTAGGATCTTCCGCATATATACATTCAAAACAAAAACTTGTATCACATTTTTTAACTGAGTTCGCCCAAAAGTCTCGAGTTTTGAGAAATCTATTCAACGAAATTGTGCGGGGTTTTTTCAAGCCGAGCTCACGATTTCTTATAAATTGAACGACTGAGGTTTCCAGATTCTTCTTCGAAAGTTGTTCCCGTTCATACTGAAGTAATTCTTCAACATCACTAGTTCGAAAATCGAAATCAGGTTCCTTATCAGATGAATCTTCTTTCGCATATAATTTCTTCCATTTCGCTCTTCTCTCTCTCTCAATCTCAATTTTTTCCACCACAACGGGATCCATCATATTCATCCATATCTTCATTGCCGATGATTACGTTTTCTTCAACATCATTATCATCCATATCTTCATTACCGATGATTACGTTTTCTTCAGCCATTACACTAACGTAACACACAAGACTAACGAAACGCAAAGAACAACGAAATAATATTCTAATGTCGCAGACTCCTCTTCATTATATATCTTTTTAATATCTCGCGTCTTATTCCAACTAGAGCATCGCGTCTCATCTACCTCAGCATTTCTCTACATTTTTGGCGGAGCGTGTTGAGAAAAATTGTCGATTATTCTTATTCGTATGGAAGGAAAGAAATAAAATTCATAGATGGAATAAAAATAATTATTTATTGCATGCATCGTAAAGAATATCATTTATAGCACATGTTAATAATTCGTAATCGATCAATGATTCGCTGTCAAAGACATCACTCTCGCGTATCGTTTTTACAGCATTGCATACAATAGTAATATTATTACGTTGTAATACAGTTTCAAATTGTTTAAATTTTTCATTTACGAGATACGTATTCTCGCATAACCAATTGTGCATATGATCGATACAATTTTCAAAATTAAATAAATGTAATAATGTTTCTGGTTTCATGTACAAAGAATTTTCGCATAATGCAAGTTTTACAATTTTCGATTGATACATTTCAATCGTTAAATCTCCAATCCTTAATGGGAGAGCAGTCGATTGTAGAAATTGTTCAACGTCTGCTTGCTTCCGCATCAACAAATTCCACGTTGAAAAGGGCAACACTATTTGATTGCCTCGATTATCGCTGAGAATCAGCTCCAAGTACGATACAGCTCCAACGCTTATTCCAATGTCCAAGTACTTGTACGACGTCGGGGTTAGAGCGTACCTTCTTCCAAGTATGCGAGCCGCACGACGAGGCTGGATACTATAAAATATAAATAATTATACAACAATATTAAAAATCAATAAGTAACAAATTTTTTAAACGATTTAAACTTACGTGTCGCATTTTTGCTTCTTACACGGTGGAGTTTCACCGTTTCGAATCGGAACGTAGAAATTCATATTTCTTCAGCGATAAATCTTTCACACGCGCGATTGATGCAATACTGCAATCGTATTAGAATCAATATCAATTCAAATAGTATCCCAAATTATGATGTAGAGGGGATTATTGCTGACACAACATTTTAATTTCCTCCAAAATTTTGTCGCGCCGATGTTACGGCTGCGATGACATCATCATCTTCGGAACAAAGATTTAGCTGAATTTGCTAAAATCGAGCGCCGATGTACGGCTGCTCCTAATACAATCACGTCAAAATTATTCAAATGTACGTGACAAAACGGGAAATTTTCAAGGTTAAGATTTGCATCGAAACTAAGATTTAGCTGAATTTGCAAAAATCGAGCGCCGATGTACGGCTGCGCCTGATGCAATCACGTTAAAATTTTCAAATGTACGTGACAAATAGTGAAAAAATAACCGCCAAGGTTAAAATGTGTATCATCCCTAGACAAAGATTTAGCTGAATTTGATAAAATCGAGCCCCGATGTACGACTGCCACTGATGCAATCGCATCAAAATTATTCAAATGTATGTGACAAATAGTGAAAAAATAACCGCCAAGGTTAAAACATGCATCATCCCCAGACAAAGATTTAGCTGAAAGCGCTAAAATCAAGGGCCGATGTACGGTTGCCCCTGATGCAATCACGTTAGATTTTTCAAATGTACGTGACAAAACGTGAAATTATCAAGGTCAAATTGCACACGGTACTACGGGGAATTTTTTGTAAGATGAAATCGTTCTAGAATGTTCGATGATAAAACAATACATGAGACGGTATATAAATCATGATAGAGAGACGCACCCCACCAGTAGCTAAAGTGCATCAGACCTATCATTAGAAACGCTAAATTTTGCAAGTGTGCATTAGCAATATGGAGGAGCAAATTTTGCGAGAACAATCCGCTTTGCTTGATTCGTTGGAAAACTACATTGTGTGGGAGCAACGATGCGACGAGTACATCGAGTCGCTGGAAGAGCAAAGTCGAATCAAACGGCCGCGATTATCAATCGGATATCAACAATCACTGATTGCTCAGATCGCGCGCGTCGAAGGTTTGAAAAATTCGGTACGGGGACGTTTCGTACACGCGGGTGCCGGATGTAGTGCGCGTCAAAATGCACTTGTGTGGCGCGAAATTGATACGGCGTTCGAGAGTCGTGTATCGACTGGTGCGGTGATAAACTATAATCACATTGAACCACGCCAATTTCTCGATGACGCTAAAGACATTGTGTTGGAACATGTGCAGGACGCTTTAAAAAAACACAGCAGTGTAAAAGTGAACACTATATTCAATGGTGAATTTGTGTCGGGTGATAAACACGCGAATAAAAGTGTGAATACGAGAAACTATGAACTCTTTCGCACATCTGATTTACGCGAGTGGTACGAACGGCGCGTTATCGAGTCCACCCTAGCGTCTCTGGAAGAGTTTCAGGAACGCGATAGCGGGTGGGCATTGTCGCGAATACTGAACTTGACTGTAAATATAAACAAGTACAATCCCATGCGCGCGGGATGTCACATCAAGTTATCACGGTTAACGTGCAATCAAAGGACAATGCGTGTTTCGCGTGGACAGTGGTCGCCGCTCTGTATCCCGCAGAAAAAAAGGTGGAACGGGAATCATCGTACCCGCATTACGCGACAGTGCTGAATCTCCGGGACATTGAGTTTCCAGTGACTGTGAATCAGATTAAGAAATTTGAACTTGCAAATAACATTTCAATCAATGTGTACGACATCGAAGACAAAAACATTGTCCCGATACGTCTTTCGCAGCAGAAACGGGATAAGCATGTGAATCTGCTGTACATTGAAGATGACAACAGCGTGGGACATTTCGCTTGGATCAAGAATTTATCCCGGCTCGTGAGCTCGCAATTGAGCAAACACAATGGCCAAAGATATATCTGTGATCGGTAAGTTTATTTTATATTATTTGAAAATTATAATTTATATAAAAATCTTATGATAAAAAAATTTTTTTCTTTTACAGATGCCTTCATTATTTTGGTTCGGACGACAAGTTGCAGTCGCATACGGTCGACTGCGGAAAGCTAAACGACTGCGCTGTCCGATTGCCGAGCGACAAGGACAAGTGGCTCGAGTTCAGCAACCCTAATCGGAAGGAGCTTCCATTCGTGGTCTACGCCGACTTGGAATGTGTCCTGACCAAGACGAAAGAAGAAAAATTATATCAACACCATCGGGTATTTAGTTTAGCTTATTATGTACATTGTTCGTACGACGACTCATTATCAACGTATCATTCGCGTCGTAGCGTTGATTGTATAGCATGGTTCGCCGAAGACCTTAAAAATTTAGCAATTCGCGTTAAGAATATTTTAAAAACAAATGTCCCCATGGTAAATTTAACATCCGATGAGTGGGAGAAATTCCATAACGCCACTCGTTGTCATATATGCGAAAAGCCGTTTGCGCAAGACGATACACGCGTTCGCGATCATTGCCATCTGACCGGGCGGTACAGAGGTCCTGCACACTCAAATTGTAATCTAAATTATAAAGATTCTTTTTGTATTCCGATAGTGTTTCACAATTTATCCGGTTACGATTCTCATTTTATTATCGAGGAAATAGCCACAGCGTTCGAAGGGAAAATCGAGTTATTACCGATAACCAAGGAAAAATATATTTCGTTTACCAAAAGTGTTGATCTTAAAGAAGAAGAATCAAAAAATCAAATAAAATTACGTTTCATCGATTCATACAAATTTCTCGCATCGAGTCTCGATAAATTAGCATCATTTTTGGACAAAGATAAACTCAAAATTTTAAAATCGGAATTTCAAAATTTATCAACAGAAAATTTCAATTTGTTAACGCGAAAAGGCGTATTTCCGTACGAATACATCGATTCCGTCGACAGGCTGCATGATACGTGTTTACCACCGCGCGAATCGTTTTACAGTTCCTTGACTGGTGAAACTGTATCCGAGAGCGATTACGCGCACGCCGAGAACGTCTGGACGACGATTCTCCATTCAGACGCTAGGTGAATATAGCGACTTGTACCTCAAAATTGATGTCTTGTTATTAGCCGATATTTTCGAAAATTTTCGAAATAAATGTATCGAAAGTTACGGACTCGACCCCGCGTATTACTATACTCTCCCCGGATACATGTGGGACGCCATGTTGAAGCATACAAAGATCACGTTCGAGTTGCTTACAGACATCGACATGGTTATGTTTATCGAACGTGGTATACGCGGTGGTCTGAGCCAATGTTCGGGTAGATACGCTCGCGCTAATAACAAGTACATGGAGTCGTACGATCCATCGAAACCATCATCGTACTTGATGTACTTTGATGTAAATAATTTGTACGGATGGGCGATGTGTCAACCGTTGCCCTATGCTGATTTTCGATGGGTCGACGATGTGTCAAATTTTGACGTATCATCCATCGCGCTAGATTCGCCTACGGGCTATATCCTCGAAGTGGATCTCGAGTACCCGCAACATCTTCACGATGCGCACACTGATCTACCGTTTTGCCCGACACGCGACAAACCACCTGGCAAGCGAGAATTCAAGCTACTTGCAACGTTATACGATAAGAAGCGTTACGTGATACACTACCGCAACCTGCAGCAGTGTACGCGGCACGGCCTTCGTGTAACAAAAATACATCGAATTTTACAGTTTTCTCAATCTCCCTGGCTTCAAAATTATATAGAATTAAATACACATTTCAGAACGTTGGCTAAAAATGATTTCGAAAAAAATTTATAGAAATTAATGAATAATGCGGTATTTGGTAAAACGATGGAAAATGTACGCAATCGTGTCGATGTAAAATTATTAACAAAGTGGGACGGACGATACGGCGCAGAGGCGATGATCGCGAAACCAAATTTCCACAGCAGAAGCGTTTTTTCGGAAAACTTAATCGCTGTGGAATTGCGTAAACTCGAGGTGAAATTTTACAAACCGATTTACGTGGGTATGTGCATCCTCGACATATCCAAGACATGTTTGTATGAATTTCATCACGAGTATATGGCGCCAATGTATCGCGACAAATGTCGAGTAATGTATACCGATACGGACAGTCTCATATATCACATCGAGTGTGCGAATGTGTATGAGAATATGAAGCGTGACATTGTTAGATTCGACACGAGCGATTATGCGGTGGACAATGCATACGGTATACCGCTTCTAAATAAAAAGATACCGGGTCTGATGAAGGATGAAAACAACGGTGCCATAATGACCGAATTCGTCGGGCTCAGAGCAAAGATGTACGCGTTACGAGTGAATGGGAAAAAGGATACGAAGAAAGTCAAAGGTGTCAAGAGCAACGTTGTCGCGAGAACGATAACGTTTGACGATTACACGCGGTGCTTGAACGAAGAAATTGAAATGACGCGTCAGCAGTCGTGTATACGATCTAAATTACACCAAGTATACACGATTCGCGAGACGAAAATTGCTCTGAGTCCGTACGACGACAAGCGATATATCGTACCCGATACCACCGATACGCTACCGTGGGGACATTATCAGATACCGTTGTAAATAAATCTATATTTTGTTTATTGTATATTTTGTACATAACCATGTATATATTTTGTACATTATATATTATATATTTTTATATTTATATATTTATATTTATATTTATATTTTAATAAATTTTATATATTTTATACGCATATTTTATGTTTCAATAAATGTTGTACAATACATTATTTTTATGAATCCAAGAGTTGTATGATTTATCCATTCCCAATCATTTCACATAAACCTCATCACCCTTTTCTCGCAAAATTTTTTCCACGAGATATACGTCGGGATTGGCGACGCGTTGTAACTCGTATTCGTAGAATCCTCCAGCGATGGGATTTCCCCGCGAATCTTCGAGTATGAATGTCGCGGGATTAGTTTTCTGCACCTCGATAATCTTAAAAACTTCGGTCGTCCAATTTGGTGTGAAACCTTTTTCAAAGATGGTCTTGTATTTGCTCACGCGTACCGAATCGCCTACTTTAAATTTTGCCGGAGCCGCAATTTTTATATTGCTGTACACCGTATTTAAAAGTTTTTCGGCGATCGCCGGAGTGACGTCGACATGTCTCATACCGATGGTGCGATGTTTTCGCGTATTGTACTCTGCAACGAGTCGAGATAGCTCATCGATCCATTTTTAATTTCCGTTCAACGGTCATTCATTACCGTTCGATGACCGTTCAACGAGCGTCCGTTTCCGTTCGACGGTCGTTCGTTTTCCGTTCAATGACCGTTCAATGACCGTTCGACGAGCGTTCATTTCCGTTCGATGACCGTTCAATTACCGTTCGATGACCGTTCGACGAGCGTTCGTTTCCGTTCAATGACCGTTCGTTTCCGTTCGATGACCGTTCAACGAGCGTCCGTTTCCGTTCGACGGTCGTTCGCTTTCCGTTCAATGACCGTTCAATGACCGTTCGACGAGCGTTCATTTCCGTTCGATGACCGTTCAATTACCGTTCGTATGTAACGGAGCACCTTTCCCGACGCCGCGGATCGGCTCGCCGGAATCAGGGTTCGGGAGAAGGGGAGGCTCAGGCTCGCAAAGCACCACACAGTTCTGGACGAAAATACGTTTATTTAAGAAAAAGAACAGATAAGAGTTTCGGGCGGTAGACCCGTAACTCACAACACGTAAGCTAGGCTTGGTCTTCACAGGAAGCCGTGACGGAGCCGCGGATGCGGCTTCAATTATACTAAACCTAAGAGCTAACGGGTATGACCTAATACTAATCGAGATATTTACAAAACCTATGCTACAAATGCGCGGGCGGTCCTTTCGAACGCGGATCGCGGAGAAACCAAGGGGGTTGCGTGCGGTATAGCACGGACGCGGGCCTAACAGGGCCTGCCAACCGAGGTCGGCTGAGGACGGGAGAGCCCGTCCTCCGGATGACGTACACGGGTGCCCCGTGGTACGTCGGGATACTGGACGTCGGTAGCAACCGACCGGGCCCGGTAGCAACCGGGCTCTAGACCAGGGTAATTAAACAGGACCCCCCAGAAGCGATGTCGCGACGCGAAAGTCCTAATGGGTGGTCTCGTGTCGGAGGGCACGGACACGGGCCTAACAGGGTCTGCCAACCGAGGTCGGCTGAGGACAGGAGAACCCGTCCTCCGGGTGACGTACACGGATGCCCCGTGGTACGTCGGGATACTGGACGTCGGTAGCAACCGACCGGGCCCGGTAGCAACCGGGCTCTAGACCAGGGGAATTAAACAGGGCCCCCAGAATAAACACGCGGACGACGGACGAGCAGTTTAACGGGCGACCGTGACGAAGGGTCGGGGGAGGATCTGGTAGGAGGAAAAAGAAAGAACCAGTTTATTTCAAAACAATATTATTCCGCGGAGGGCCGTGAGATATGCAGAACGGGCGGGGCGGTCGTTGTCCAGGAGACGTGGGTACGGCTGTCCTCCAGGAGCTGCGGTGGTTTCCTCAGGTACCGTGGATCCGGCTGTCCTCCAGGAGTTACGGCGGCGGTCGTTCCCCAGGTGCGGCGCTCGTCCACGTAGCCCGAGGTCGTAAGAGGGGCCCGTTGTTACCGGAGCCGTGAAAACGGCTAGTTGTTCCAAGAGCCGTGAAAACGGCTAATTGTTCCAGGAGCCGTGAAAACGGCTGTACGGATGCCAGGATGCGAGCCGGACAAGTCCGGACGTCGGTTGAGACCGACCGAGTACGGGAGCCCCGTACCCTGGACCGGGTCGTCCGCGGCTCGACGGAGAGTGGGTCGGAAGTAAGCCGGACAATTCCAGACGTCGGTTGCAACCGACCGAATACGGGAGCCCCGTACCCTGGACTGGATCGTCCGTGGCTTGACGGAGGGCTTCTGGACGTCGGATGCAGCCGACCGGGCACGGCTAAGGCCGTGCTCTGGACCAGAAGCAAGGATGGAAGAGGAGTTCGGTAGGCTTCGAATGCCCAGGGTGCGCCCTGTGGCTTCTAGCGTCCCGAGAGTCGGGACAGGAATAGGTACCGGTCTGCCGGAGCGGCCGCCTTATATACCCGGCTAGCTACCCCCACTCGATATCCCCACGCGGTCATGCGCGTAGTAGTGGGGCAGGACGTGACTCTCAGTCCGCGGCTCCCAATTCCGCGGCTCGGGCGAGGTGCTCAATCGGCGGCGCTTGGCGCCAAAACTGGCGCCGCGCTGTGTCGTGCGCTAGTAACGGCCTAGCCGTTACACCACCCCCTATTTCACGGGGGAACCTCCCGGTCCGGCAGTCGTTTCACGGAGCGCTGGCGGCCTCGGTGGTCGAAGCGGACCACCCAACGCCCCGTGGTGGTCTGGACTCTATATTTGCGGCCTCGGTGTGCGGCGAAATGCGGGACCTCGGCGGTCTCGCCGTCCGGTAGGTGGACCCGGACCGGTGGAGGCAGAGTCGGGTCGGTGGTCGCCCGAGCTGATATCGCGCAGACTAACGAGATCTCTGGTGGTGGTGGCGCGACCCTGGTGCCGCCTGCCGCGGCGGAAGATGGTGCGGTGGTCGGAGGCGGTGCGGTGGTCGGAGGCGGGGGCGACACGGTCCCGGCTCTGGTTGCCGTTGTGGCTGGCGTCCGGTGGGAAGGCCGTCGTCGTGACGGCGCGGTGGACCCACGTCCCCGGGTGCGTGGTGGTGGTGGCGGCGGCTCTGCCAAGAAAATCGCCGATTTACGGGCCTGGTCGCGGTCCGACCGTTGGACCGTGGTCCCGGGCTTCGGTGGCGGTCGGCGTCCTTCCTCCCGCCATTCCCTCTTCCTTTCCTGTTTTTCTCCTTCTGAGGAGTCCTCAGTCTCGCTTCCGAACAACTCGTAATATAGCTTGCGCTTTGCCATGCTGACCGGATACTAAACGGTGGAGCGCTCGTCTGCCTTATATATCCCACCAGACTGGGCCGAGGGGTGGGGCAATGGTTGGACGGGCCTCCTTATTGGTCAACGCCCGGGGATGCACCTTTTAAGTCGCGTCCCTTTCAGGATCTGCTAAAAGCATTCGGTATCGCTCATCACTTCGCGCCAGCCTATATCCCGCAATGCAACCCGGTGGAAAGGGCCAACCGAACGATCAAAACAATGATTGCGCAATTCGTGGGGAAGAAACACCGGCATTGGGATGAAAATATACCCCAATTACAATTCGCCTACAACACGGCCAGGCAAGAGGCTACCGCACGCGCACTAATTGTAAGTCTCGCGATATTATCGTTCTCTCTCTTGTACATGTCGTTTTCGCGCTATCGTTCTCTCTCGCACGCGTTGTTATTCTCGATATTATCGTTTTCTCTCTTTCATATACTCGTTGTTCACTTACCTTTGCGTCGTCCTTCTCCCACCTATACGTCGTCCTTGTCCCGCGTTAACACCATCTTTGTCGCACTCGTAGCACTGTCCTCTTCACACACTTTGCACTGTCCTTTTCCCATACATAGCGCTGTCCTTCTCACACTACCGTCTTCTTTCCGCTGATCCCCCTTCATTGCGCGGACCCCCTCGTCCATCGGTCGCGCCGCTGATCCCACTCCACTGCGCGGACCCCCTCGTCCATCGGTCGCGCCGCTGATCCCCCTTCACTGCGCGGACCCCCTCGTCCATCGCTCGCGCCGCGGATCCCCCTTCACCGCGCGGATCCCCTCGCCCATCGGTCGCGCCGCGGATCCCCCTTCACCTCGCGGACCCCCTCGTCCATCGCTTGCGCCGCGGATCGCCCTTCACCTCGCGGACCTCCTCGTCCATCGCTCGCGCCGCGGATCCCCCTTCCCCGCGGGCGACGTTACCCACCGCGCGCCGCGGTTCCTCCTTCCCCGCGCGTGACGTCACTCCCCCCCGCACCGCGGTTCCCCTCGCGGCTCACCCCCCCTGAGAGGACCTGGGTTAGAACTCTCCTTGTTATACTACTAAGTATTTTTATCAAATATACAATTTTATTCTCTTTTATTATTTATTTAGATCCGTTATTATTAATTATATTTCTTATTCAATTTTATTATTTATTCTCTCTTGTGCAAAGTTCATATAGATTAATTCAATTTAAAATAATTTTTTTTAGTTTGTCGTTGTAAAGTTTATAAATGAGGATGATACTTGTAACGATGAAGATAATGCTGTTTTCGAAGTCGGTCTTACAAAATGACTAAAAGAACTAGATAATATGAAAATAAATATTTCTTGGCCTCCTCGATCTGCGCAAAGCAGCGCATTAAAAAAAGAAATGGATGCATCTCCTTCATGGCCAACATATAATGTTATTGTTTTAAAATTTTACAGTATGTTGTTTTTTGTGCACATATAATTGTATATTTTTTCTCAATTTTATTTTGAAGTTAAATTATTCTCTTATAATCAGATACGCTTTTGGCTGCACGCAATGGACTCAATGGTTTCATTATGTCTTCTGCTTATGAAACGGATGTTGAAGTTGGTCGTGGCAAACGAAAAAAAATTGAGCGACGACGTTTTTCATTTGATTCTCCTGAAAAACAAATTACGAAGAAAACTAGGAAAATTCCGAGTTCTGATTCATCAGATTCTAATCCAGATGATCCTGAGATTTCGCAATTTTCAAATAAAACAAATGTTGCTGCTCCACCACTTGTCTCTTATAAACCTCAAAATAATAAAACTGAGTCTCAAAGAAATATTACGCATGGCGAAAATATAAAAACAAAGATATTTGAAAAAAGTCAATCTACTATAATGTCGACGTCTCTTGAAAACAAAAAATCTAGAAAAGAGCTTTTGCTTGCAAAAATAAATGAAGCAAAGAAAATAACTCCCGTTGAAGATAATAGATCAGAAATTATAAGAGCTGCAAGAAAAAGACGGCAAACGTGTGATATAACAAAACAATTTACATTATCTTCTACATCACCTCAACATGATATGTCTCGGAAACATAAGTCAACTGGCGTAAGCTCGAAGTTTGAAATGTCTTCGTCGACAGGATGTGATGTACAAGAAAATGTTCATAGCATTTTACAGCATAGTATTTCAAAGAAAGTGCAAAATGTTAAGAAATTGAAAAAAAATGAGAGTTCCTTAGTTGTGTCATCAGAGGACGATGATATTTTGCATCCCAAAAAATGTACGAGACCACTAACAACAGCAAATATGTCAAATAAAAATATTATTACTTCTGATACTGAATTTATAGAAAAATCACCATCCGTGTCAAATATTTCACATTCTCAATCTGATTGTGAGTTCAGTCAGTCTAGCAATGCTTTCTCCCAAATAAAAGAATCATCTACACAATCTACACCTCGCTCAGTTCGTCAATCAGGTACAATTAACATTTAATAATTCTTTACTTTCTTCTAATTATTTTATTTAATATTAAGTTGTAATATATAGTCATTTATGTCACATTTTTTTCCAGGTAATCTGTTCCAGATTTTATCTGAAATCAGAGATTTTCCTAAGAAGACATACATTCGAACCCAAGAGATTAGTAGTAAACTAGACATAGTTATTATGAATTTAAGTAGATTAAATCGCTTTCTTCTTCCAAATGAAAAAAGGATAATAAGACCAACAGATCTTCCTTCGCTTCCAATAACAACTAATGAAGAGTTAAACAAATTTGAAACATTTTTATCAGAAAATGATAACATAACTGGAACTGTAAGCTATATTTAATTTTGTTTTTTATTGTTCTACGTTCTAAATGTTTTTTATTTGTTTAATTATTAATATTCTGTTTATAGATTTGTTATATGAGTCAAATTATTGGCTCTAAGGATAATATTAAAGAAGCCACATATAAAGTGTTAAAGAAGCTTATTTCAAACACATTAGCATCAGAGTTCAATTTGAAAGGTGGTGGTAACCCGTCCAAAAAATGTTTTGAAAAGTTAACATTATATGAAGTTGTTGAAGGTAAAAATTACTTGAAATTAACTTAACACTATTATTAATAACAATATTTATATTAATAACAATATTTATATTATAAAAATATTTCTTTTAAATTATTATTTGTTAAATTATCTTCGATTTTTTTTACTTAAATAAGCATTTCTTTTTATTAAATTCTACATATAGAAGATAATAAGTATATATAGGATATAGGTTTTATGAATCACCGAGGTTGGTGAGCAATAAATTCTTCTATTAATAATTTTTTTAATTCACAAAGGATACATTTAAATAAATGATCTCTTTTTGAAAATACCAAATTAAATTAATTAAATAAGAATGAATGTTTTCTCAATTAAACTATACTGACTACAATTCTCTCTCCCGAAAGATTGCGTTCGACTTCTAGTAACTCGCATCCAATATTTTTCTTGCATATTTTTCTCTTTTTATCATCCTTGTTTAAATAATTTAATTTAATATTTCCGAAGAAATATCGTTTATCTAAATCGATTTTTGATGGATTAAAAAACTTTATAATAGAAAAATAAAAAATTATTTTGTACCAACAATTGTAACGGCTCATGAAGCTTATACAGGGTGACCCATTTTAACTTAGGCAGCCAAATAACTCGAAAAATAAGCACACTACGAAAAAATGGTTAGAATCAAAATTTCGTCATTTCGAGGGGGACGTACAATGACGTTAAAATCAGCCCCCCACCCCTCCCCCTGGGCGGTGAGGGGGGGCAAGTTTGAAATCTTAAATGGAACCCCCTATTTTTCATTGCATATTCTTGTAGCTTATCTCGAGAGCTTTCCAAAACACTATAATTAAGTACCTTTTTATTAAGTACTTTTTGAGGTATAAGGCTTAAAATAATTTCTTAATTTTACATAAACCATAAAATATCTAGTAAACCATTCATTTTTCGATTATCTTACCTTCATACTTTTATGTACAAAATAATGAGAGGAATCAATTGGTGTAAAGAAAACATACAGTTGTTTTTAAGAAAAAATATGGAATTGTTAATTGCAAATTACATATTTTTTCTTAGAAACAACTATGTGTTTTCTTTACACCAATTGATTCCTCTCATTATTTTGTACATAAAAGTATGAAGGTAAGATAATCGAAAAATGAATGGTTTACTAGATATTTTATGGTTTATGTAAAATTAAGAAATTATTTCAAGCCTTATAACTCAAAAAGTACTTAATAAAAAGGTACTTAATTATAGTGTTTTGGAAAGCTCTCGAGATAAGCTACAAGAATATGCAATGAAAAATAGGGGGTTCCATTTAAGATTTCAAACTTGCCCCTCCTCACCGTCCAGGGGTAGGGATGGGGGGCTGATTTTAACATCATTGTACGTCCCCCTCGAAATGACGAAATTTTGATTCTAACCATTTTTTCGTAGTGTGCTTATTTTTCGAGTTATTTGGCTGCCTAAGTTAAAATGGGTCACCCTGTATATATCTTCTGTGATTTAATAATCATATGAACCTAAAACCTAACTCATACTGTATTTGTATTATTTTTTATGTATTTTCTGCATTTGACTTTTATTTAATCTCTAATATATTATTATAATTATTTTGTTTTAGCCTTTAAATCTTTTATTTTCTTTTTGCTATCATTAATTTAGTGGTCGTATTTTTATGCAAACTTTTAAAAGAAATTGCAAAACATAAAATGTGTTGCATTTTCAGGTGTTATTTTAAGCAAGAAGCCACAGGCAGAATTAATTGAGATTGCTGCAGCAACTTCATCTTGGCTGAAGCAAGCTTCTTGGCGTCGGCAGGATGATGGAACAATGGGCAAGAGAACAAAATAATATATCGTCTAATATGTGATATTCAATTTATAATAAGATTATAACTAGATATATGTAATTATGCATAAGATACTTTACCAAACATAAAAATGCTTTAAAGTCTATCGGCCGCGTTCAGCAAAAAAAGCAGCTTTGCAACTG